ACCAAGACTCGCTAGTGATCAGATCCAAACGAGCCCCTCCCGGCGCAGGCGGGCGGGGAGCCCAACGCGGCCTGCGGCGGCCACGGCGACGACGGCCCCCCGCAGCAGAGCAGCACGCTCAAGCGGCTCGACAAGCTAGAAGCGGAAGCCCTCCCCAGATCTCTCCCCGCATCTCCCCACATCTCCCCACATCTCCCCACATCTCCCCAGATCTTCCCACATCTCCCCACATCTCCCCACATCTCCCCAGATCTCCCCAGATCTCCCCAGATCTCCCCATATCTCCCCGGTGGAGGGGGAGAGGAGCCTCTAGAAGCGGAAGCCCACCCCAGATCTCCCCATCTCTCCCCGCATCTCCCCGCATCTCCCCGCATCTCCCCGCATCTCCCCGCATCTCCCCGCATCTCCCCAGGCCTAGAGGAGCGGAGTGCGTATTCTCGTCTCCCAACCATCGCTCTCGAGAGGACACGTACTCCGCCGTCCTCGACCTCCCTCCGCCGTATCCACTGCACTCGTAGCCCCGCGACTCGCCCGCACAATACACCATCCTCCCGCCCCGAGGCTGGTGCCGGGAGCGCCTCACATGACAGCACACACACACTCAGGACTCTCAGTGTGTTGATCCCAATCGCGATGCGTGTGTGTGACTCGCCTGGTGCGGAGACGCCGCGCACACCGTGACCCCTCCTTGTCCTCGCACGGGAGGACCCATGGTGAAGACCGCAGGGAGCAGCAGCAGCAGCAGCAGCAGCGGGCTGGAGAGTGAAGACCGCAGGGAGCAGCAGCAGCAGCAGCAGCAGCGGGCTGGTGTCTCCAGCCCGTAGGCTCTACCGGCTCTCTCGGCGCGGGGAGCGGTGCGAGCGCGCCGCGGGGCCCTTCCCCTTCCCAGACGGCGAGGGAGCTCGACTCTCCCCAGATCTCCCCAGATCTCCCCCCTGACCGCGGCGTGTGCGACGGCACGTGTAGGCTCGCTCGAGATCGTCGGCCGCGGCGCTCTCGAGGCGGCCCTCAACCCTCGGGGCAATCTCGGGCAATCTCGGGCAATCTCGGGCAATCTCGGGTAATCTCGGGCAATCTCGCGGCCCTCTCGAGGCGGTCTTCAACTCAAGCCGCGTGCGCAGCTACGCGGCGCGGCACTTCCGCAACGAGCAGCCTCCCTTCTGGTCCGAGATCTAGCCGAGATCTAGCGGAGATCTAGCCGAGGTGCAGCCGAGGTGCAGCCGAGATACAGCCGAGGTACAGCCGAGATCTAGCCGAGGTGCAGCCGAGATACGGCCGAGGTGCAGCCGAGATACAGCTGGTCGCGCCTCGGCGCCCCGCTGTGAACGGCGTCTCTTCACAGCCGCACCGGCGGGCAGGTCGCACGAGGATGCGTGCCTCGGCGCACTGTTGCACCGCGAGGCGAGCGAGCGGGAGCTGCCCGTGAGCTACCTCGCGCTGCGCCGCTGGGAGCACAACTTGTTTTGGGTCAACTGGGCGGACCGGACCAGCCTGGTGCCTGGAGATGCTCTCTCTGGGGGGGGGTGGGATCTCGGGCGATCTCGGGTAATCTCGGGTAATCTCGGGTAATCTCGGGCAGTCATCTCGGGTGATCTCGGGTGATCTCGGGTGATCTCTGTCGATCTCGGGTAGTCATCTCGGGTCATCTCGGGTGGTCTCGCCCCTCCAGGTGTCCGGAAACACTCTCTGGGCGCACTACACCCGCTCGGCCGAGCGGGCGGACTACGTCTCCTCCGCTTTCCGCGCCACCGCCGGCGAGGCGCGCGACCCCTTCCGCTGCGGCGGCTGCGGGGCGGGGTGGGGGTGGTCCCCCCCACACGCGCGCATCTCCTGCTGCGACAAGCCGCCGCCGCCGCAGCGGCAGCCGCCGCCGCGCCGGTTCACCGACGCGGGGCCGGCGAGCTGCGGGCTGGGCGGCGGCGGCGCCGCGCTGCAGCTGGCCTTTTGGTCCGAGTACGGCGACGTCGACCCGCGATACGCGCTGCGGCGCGAGATTGCCCGAGAGTACCCGAGATTGCCCGAGATTGCCCGAGATTGCCCGCGATACGCGCTGCGGCTGCGCGCACGCGTCGACGCGGGGGGGCGACGCCGGGGGGGGCGCGAGAGTAGGCGCGAGATCAACGCGCACGGCGGCGCGGAGCGGCGGAGGCGCGCCGGCGTCGAGGCCTGCTTCGTGCTGGGCATGCGGCGGCGGCACGACCCGACCAGCCCCTTTAACGTTCGCGCGTGGCTCTACTTCGAGGCGTGAGGGAGGGAGGGACGAAATGGCGGTGAGAGATGGCGGTGGGATGGCGCCTCCCTGAGTCACACACACAACACACACACACACACACTTCGAGGCCCCTCCCGCGCCGTCGGCGACGTGCCGACGCGCCGCCTCTCGGGACGCGCCGAGACCCGCCGTTGTCGCGCGAACGCCGTAGGAGCGCCCATGCACTTCTTCTTTCGCCGGCCGCATTTCTTTTTTGTACAGGGCTGCTGCCTCACCGTAGGCCGGCCGGCACGGCGATGTCGACCTCTCCCCCCTCGAGGCGGGGCGCGGGCTCTGGCCGACGCGCGGGCATGCCGCAATCGAGTGGTGGAGGCGAGCGCTCGAGATTCCCCGAGATCGCCCGAGATTGCACGAGATCGCACGAGATTGCACTAGATTGCACGCGATCGCCCGAGATCGCCCGAGATCGCGCGAGATCACCCGAGATTCGCCACACGTCGAGCGGCGCGGAGTACACAGCCCAGTCCACTTAGCCGAGCACTGAGGCGCACTCCACCGCCTTCCCCTGCGCTCGCCCGCGAGCAGCGCCTCGTTCCGCCGTCCGCCCGTGTCCAGGCGAGCGGCGGAGCACGCGGCGGGCGAGCAGCCGGCGCGCTTCTACGCGTTTGGGGCGGTCGGGCGTCTGCTCTCGCTGCCGCCTCCGGAGCTCTCCCTCTCCCGAGAAGAGGGGGCTGCGAGCGCGAGATTGCGCGAGATCACCGGAGAGGGCGCGTCCGTGTAGGAGCTCGCGCGCCTGATGAAGCCGTTGCTCGAGGGCGGCGACCCGCCCCCCGAGACGCTGCAGCTGCGCCAGAATGCGTCCTCGCCGCGGCGCAGCCTGGCGGGCGCGGGCACAGGCGCTCTCTGTGCCGCGCCCCACAGTCTTTGGCGTGCTAGTAGGCACAGCCAAGGGCGCGGACTCATCGCGCTGCCGGCCGCGCGGATCGCAAAGTCGGCGGCGGCCGGCCCGGCGGGCCACGCAGTTGGGCGGCCCCACCACCCGCACCACCTCTGCTGCGGCAGCTCGTCGCGGCTGGCGCTCCTTCTCGGCCGCATGCTCGCGTGAGGCGCCTCACACGGGGTGTCCGAGGCATCCTTCAACAACGGCCGCGGTCCGGTCTTCCGCGGCGTGAGTTACCGCGCTCCCACCCGGTTCACGCGCGCTGTTCTCCGTCGCGCGCAAACCATTCAGGCACTACTATGGTGCCGGCGGTTAAATTTCGCTCTCACATGTAAGCCCGACTGCTCACAAAATTCAGTAAGTAAAAAGCCGTAGAAGAGCCAGCTGGCAGCTCGGCCTCGGCTTGTTGCACGAGTATATGGGGGACACGATGTCTCAAACATGAGGGGTTTTGACTCCTACCGGCTCCTGACGCTATCCCTGGCAGCTCTAATGACCAGGATCAGTAGTGTTGTGATATAGAGGGTGCCCATACTAGCGCAGGAGGGCGGGCACTCCACTGACTGCGAGCTATTTCCCATCCCTCCTTCCGTGATTTGTTTTCTTTCTTGTGTGAGTGCCAGTGTGCGCCAGTCCCGTGCCCAGTGTTGTGCGAGGGAGTTTTGTTCAATTTTTCTTTCTTTTTTTAGCTCCGTGATTTTTTCTTTTTCCGTTTTATACGTTACGCGGAATGGTTTCCTCCCCCTGGTCGGTGCTGCGCACCTCGGGCGACGCGCCCGAGCGAAGGGGCGGACATACGGCGCTGCTGGTGGAGCAGAATCTCCTCGTCATGGGCGGCACTCAGCACAAGGGCCAGGCGCACACACCGCAGACCTGCCGCTGCGATGCCGTTGGCGGTGAAATGAAGCCTGTTCTGCGGAGCTAACCCCCCTCCCACACGGCACAGGGCCAGTTCGTCTACTTCTCTCTCAATCCGCACGTACTCGACACGCAGACCCTCAAGTGGTTCAGACCGCGGGTGAGCTGCCCACACGGAGGCGCTGCTAGTGCCTCGCGATGACCGCAACAGCGCTCTGCCAGGTGGCGCTGGGCGGCGGGCCAACACCGCGGGCATACCACAGCACGACGCGAGTGGGATCCGCGCTCTTCGTGTTTGGAGGACAGACGTACATGCACACGTCCGGAGGCGCAGAGTCTGTGCTCGGCGACCTTCCCATCTTTGACTTGGTGAGCACGAGCAGCCGCCACCCACACCGCCGCGCTGGATCGCGCCACAGCCTCACCCTCAACGCCGCAGCCGGAGCCCTGATCGAGCTCCATTCCCTGCCATCTGGCAGGTCCGCATGGCGTGGGAGACGAGGGACTCGCGCGGCAACCCGCCCCGACCGCGGTACTGGCACACCGCGACGCTGGTGGGCGGGAGCATCGTCATCGCCGGTGGCTACACCGGCACACGCTCACTCAGCGACGTGCATCTCCTCGACACGGAGGCCATGGCGTGGTCCTCGCCACCGCTTTCGTCGCCGCTGCCGCCACTCGCCTGTCACTCCGCAACGCTGGTCGGTGGCCGGTTGTACCTCTTTGGCGGCATGGCGGTCACCCTCGACGACGCGGGCGCGTCGTGCGTCGAGCAGCCACGGTCACGTCCGCAGTCGCCCTGAAATGTACCGGAGAAGCGTCCCATAGGCGCTTCACGTGTCGAGTACCACGAGGACGTCCATTCGATCGATTGCGGCGAGATGTCGGTCCAGCGATTGCGGCGGCGCGGCGCGGCGCCGGCCGCGCGCGCCTACCACGAGGCGGCGCTTGTGGGCGGCTACCTGCTTGTGCTAGGAGGCTGGAACGGCGCTCCGCGGTCGGCATGGAAACCCGTCCTCGTCCGTCTGCGCGCAATGCCCCGAGGCGCGCGTCGTAGGCGCGCCACGCCCGCTCGACGAGGTCTCTACTCTCGACCTCGAGGGGCTCGGCACGTGGCACTCGGTGCAGGTTCCCGGCGAGGCGCCGGCTCCCGTCTATGGCCACTCGGCCACCCTCGTCGGCTCAAAGGTGGGCGGCACCTTGGAGGGGAGAGGTCACGCTCATTCGGACAGCCACGACGCGCTTCTCGGTAGGTGGTGGTCTTTGGCGGGTGGGATGGCTCGTCGCCGCTCAACTCGGCGCACGTGCTGGATACAACGCTCCTGTGAGCCGTCCCCGTCGCTCTTGCAGAGAAGCCGTAATTCTTCTTTCAAAATTCTTCTCGAAAACTTGTAACGTGCGGCCTGACGCCGCTCTCTGCCCTCTCGACAGCCACCAGCGAGCACCGATCCGCAGCCCGGGGCCACGCGGCCGGGCACCAAGCCTTCGATGGCGGCCTCGCCCGCCATCGACCCGGGAGAGTCGCTCTCTTCAAGCGTGCACGCATTGCCGACAAGTTTTACCGCAAGTGCGAAGGGAAGCTCGAGGACCTGGGCGTGGGCGATGCTGGCGACCTCCTCACGGTGGTCGCTGTGAAGGGCATTGCCTCGCTCGGACTCCACGAGCTTCAGGCGGAGAAGCTCCGCCGGACTCTTCTCGGCCGACGGGGCTGGGAGGACGCAGCTGCTGTTGCGGCATCCTTTGGCGGCCTGTCGCTGGACGACACCCCTGCTGGGGTGGCGGCTGGCGACCAGGCGGCTAGTGGCGCGGCCAGCGCGCCCGCTCTCGACGGCATGGCCGTCGATGGCGGCTACGCGAGCGCCGACGAGGATGCCGGGCCTGCCTCAGGTGGGCTCGCAGCAGCTTCAGGCTCCATCCCCCCCTCGGGAGGGCCGAACTGAGGCGCCCGTGGGGACCCCGCAATTCCCTTCCTCCCTCGGAGGGGGCCGGACGAGGCGTACCCCGAGGGCCCCACTCTTTCCAACGCATAGTGGCCACTCTTCGGATCGCTGGTCGAGCGACCCGGGGGATGCCCCGCGCGCCTGACCCAGGCGCGGAAACGAATCTGCGTGTTGGTTGGGTCGCAAAAAACAAGAAAAATTGGTTTCAAGGTTCTTTTTCTCAGCCGCGCCTACTTTCTTTTTTTCAAGGCGCTGTCGGCACGCGCAAGGTCTCCAAACGAAGACAAAGATATACACCTGTATTTAATGCGGCGCGGTCTGTCTTTCGCTGCCCCCGGGGCGAAAGCAAGGACGAAGCTCGCGGAGAAGCTGGCGGCGTCCGAAGCATCGGCGGCGGATCTGGCCCAGCAAGCGGACGATGCAAAGAAACGGGCGGAGCAGCAGGCGGTGGCCGCGGAGGCGGCGGCGGTCGAGCTGGCAGAGACGGCGGAAAAGCTTGCGGCGTCCGAGGCGGCGGCGGCGGATCTGGCCCAGCAAGTGGACGATGCGAAGAAGCTGGGAAAGGAGCGGACGGCGGCAGCAGTGGCGGCGGCAGTGGCGGCGGCGGAGGCGGCAGCGGAGGCGGCGGCGGAGAAGCTGGCAGAGACGGCGAAGAAGCTGGCGGATCTGGCCCAGCAAGTAGACGATGCGAAGAAGCGGGAGGAGGAACAGGCGTTGGCGGCCGAGGCGGCAGCGGCGAAGAAGCTGGCGGCGCCCGAGGCAGCGCCGGCGGATCTGGAAGCGACGCAGCTCATCGACACCGATCTCGAAGCAGGCACCGTCCGACGCCCAATCGAGCGTGGACTGCCGAAGTCCAAGAAGGAGCGAGCGGCCAGCGACGGCGGCGGGCCGTACCAGCAGCTGATCGATGGCGAAGGCGATAGCCCGTACCTGCCTCGGATGACCAAGGGCCTCCTGGCGGCACTGCTGACGACAAACACTTGCTGCACAGCCTTTTTGGGCATGATCCTTGTTGTGCTGTACCAGCATTCGTACGCAAGCGGTGTCGGTGAGGTGCAGCCGCGCCCCCCACCTCCCCCGTCGCTGCCAATCAGCAGCAGCTGCGCGATTTACCATGCCGGTGCGGCCGTTCTCGAGGGCGTCATGCACACGATGACGGCCGATGGGCTCACTGAGGCGGAGACTGAAGAGGGCGAGATCGTAACGGAGGATCACATCGGTTTCAGCAACCCCTTCGCCCCCACCTTCTTCGACTTCGAGTGCCTGCTTGCCAACGGCACGGGCGATCCGTGCGACGCGTACGTGGCCGAGGCCTTCGCAGACCAAATGTTCGTTCCTCTGCGCACCGACACGCTGGCGGGGCTCTGGCTCTCCACGATCTTCCTCTACTCGCTGGCTCAGATTGGTGGCATCCCGCGGCCACGGTTTGTTGACCGCAGGATCGACTGGCCCGGGGTCGTCTTCTGGCTCTCTTGGATGTTGACGCAGCTGTGCCAGTTCTTCGTGGTCGGCCTTTCCCTGGCTATGCAGGTTGTCGCCTTCTTCGGCGTGCACGAGCGCACCGGGCCTTGCATGGTCAGGGTCGACAACTTTACGCTGCTGGACGAGTACGCGACGGTCACGTTTGCGGCGCAGCCAGCGCTCCTTAGCAAGCTGCTGCTTCTTGTTGTGTACGGGTACCTACTGTCGCTCGGCGGGCTTGTGTTCATTGGGCGCAACGTGAACGAGGTTGAGTTTAAGATCGAGGCCAGCAAGACCAACACGAGCCTCGTGCAGCCGATCCCGCTTGCGAGCGTGCTCTACTTCATCTCTCGGTGGGCGCTGTACGGCATCTGCCTGGGGACCGTCGGCGGGTGGCTTAGCTGGGTGGACACCTCATGGGCGGCCGCGCTGGTTGCGGCAGCTGTGGGCTCGCTCACGGGAGGATTCAGGCGAGGAAAAGACTGGCCGTCTTGCGCAACAATCGCCAAGTGCGCCCTTGGCGTTCTCCTCGCCCTGCCGATCCTGCCAAATCTTGTCTACCTACCATTGGGCGGGCTGTTCGTTGCGTTTGTCAAGCTAAGCTTTGCCGCCGGGCGGACGTCACTCGATCTTATTGAGTCAACAGCTACGTCGGAGTGGCGTTGCTGCCAACGGCTCGAGGCGCTGACCAAGGCCGCGGCCGCTGCCACCAAGCCGGCCATCAGCTGGCTCGCCCCGCTCGGAAGCCTCGAGCTGTCCAGCGGCATGTCAATGGTGGTGCAAGGGCTGGCGTACACCGAGACCAGCCTCTCAACGCTGGCGGGTGGACTGGCTTGCGTGCTGGGCTGCCTCGCGCTCTCCCCACTGGTTGCATACGGCACGTGGGCGGCGGAGCAAGGACGGCTCGAGCCCGATTACGATGTCGAGGACAGCGCGGTGGATGCGGTGCAGGCACGGCTCTGGATGCTGTGGCTCCTGGTGGCCACACACGGGGTGCTTTTGGCTGTGGATAACTTCCTTATGGAGGGCGAGCTCCTCCTCGACAGGTGCCGTGATCGCGGCATCTATCTCTCGCTCACAAGTGACTCACGTCTCAATGTGTTCCTCACCGTCTACGCCATCCCCTTCCTCCTCGCGCTCGGCTTCGCCATCTTCTTCACCTCGCAGGACAACTCGTACATCGAGCGCATCTTCCGGCACGCACAGGTTGTATACGGCGACTCCTTTGCGTTCCTCGCCACGTTGCAGCTCGACGTGTCGGGTCTGCAGCCCTTTATCGACAGCGTGGTGGCGGACATGGCCGCCTTCATGGGCGACCCCTTGGGGGAAGCGCAAAGGGTCGCCGACCGTCTGGCCGAGATCGTAGCGGATCCGCTGGCGCCCGTTATGGAGGTGGTCGAGGTGCTTGCCAACATGTCGCGCTATCTGGAGATCGACCCGTCCTACTTTGTTGAACACTCGGCGGCGCTCGACGTTCTGAACGTAGCCTTGGGGCTGCTCAAGCTGCTGGCCACCTACGGACGCAAGGCGTTTGCGCTCTACGATGTGGTGCTGAGGCTATTTCGCGGAGAGAATGAGGAGGGAAACGAGGAGGACGACGGGGTGGTGCAGGTGCACGAGTGCGTGGCGGATCCAAACAAGGCGCAGCTCGAGGCCGACATCGAGCTGCTCTGCCAACGAGGTGTTTACTCGGAGGATAAGACTTCGTGGGACTTGAAGAACGCGCAGCTTGCTGCTGGGGATGTGGCGACAATTGCTCTCTGGCTGAAGGACAATAGGGTGCTGACCACCCTCAACCTCCGCTACAACGGCATCGGCAACGAGGGCGCCGCCGCCCTCGGCGAGGCGCTGCGGGGCAACGCGGTGATGACCGACCTTGTGCTCATGGGCAACAACATCGGCGACGAGGGCGCCGCTGCGCTGGCCTCCGCTCTTCGCGTCAACGGGGTCCTGACCTGCCTCGTGCTCTGGGAAAACAACATCGGCGACGAGGGCGCCAAGGCGCTAGCAGTCGCTCTTCGCGTCAACGAGGTGCTGACCAAGCTGTACCTCGACGGCCACGAGCTTGACCTGCCAAAGCTGCGCGGCACCGACCCGGTGACATCCCTCCACCTCTCGCGCAAAAGCCTCGGCTCCGCCTCGGCCATCGTGATTGCGTCGCTGATTGCCGGCAACGCGGTGCTGACCAACCTCAATCTCAAAGGCAACCAGCTGTGCGGCATCGACACCTATTGTGAGGGTACCTACTCGGCCGCCGGTATCACAGCGCTTGCGGAGGCCCTCAAATTCAATGGGGTGCTGACCAAGCTCGACCTCGCCAGCAACAGCATCGGCGCCGACGGCGCCGAGGCGCTGGCCTCAGCTCTGCGCGTCAACGGGGTGCTGACCGATTTGCGCCTCAACAACAACAATATCCGCGACGAGGGCGCGAAGGCGATCGCCGAGGCGCTGCGCGGCAACGAAGTGCTGACCGACCTGAACCTGTCGGGCAACAACATCGGCGGCGGGACCGGCTGGATCAAGGCGAGCGAGGTCGAGGGCGAGTCGAAAGAGGTCGGGTCTAAGGTGATTTACCAGGGGCGCGAGATGGTCGTGAGCGTGGGGGTGGACTCCGACGGCGAGCTGAAGCTGGTCGATGTAGTGCAGACGGGCGTACTTGCGATCGCCAAGGCCCTCGAAGTCAACGAGGTGCTGAAAAGCATCGACCTCAGCGACAACAACTTGGGCGATGAGGGGGAGAAAGCGATTCATGATGCGGTGAGGGGGCGGGAAGGGTTCGAGCTCGAGATGTGAGGGGTGGGTTCTGAGAGTGGACGGCGCAGGGGAGCGTGCGGGTAGTTAGACGGGGTTGTCTTGCTTATTAGCTGCGCATTTGTTTATTTTGGATTTTGGGTAAAATTTTGCGCTTTTTTTTCTTGACCAGCCTAAACCTCCGCTACAACCAGATGCTCGCCACCGCCGCCGCCGCGCGTCCCCGCGCCGCCACGCTTCCCTGTGCACCTGACCGCGCTGCGCAGACGGCGCGCTCTGGCAGACAGAGCAGCGGCCGCCCAGGCGGTCGCTGCTCCGCCCCGTCCGAATCCGCCCGCCCGCGCGTGCCGCTGCCGCCGCCGCCGCCGCTCCACCCAATGCCCGTGTGTCGTGAGAGTTGCTTTGTGTATGTGTATGTCGTATGTGTGTGGACCGTTATGTCACACACTTGAGCCTCTATCTATGATAGTAGACCGGTACTCGGGTTTGGATGGTAGCGGGGGGCCCCGCGCCGGAGGATGGTTCTGATCACTTACTTACACGGTCTATTTCGGCCGCGTGCGCTCCACACACCAGTCACGGCTCACGTGAACGCGTCTGAGCGACGCAACCGACTCAACTGGACCGCGGTTGGTACAGACCCGTAATGAGAGGCATCACGTGTGCGTGGTTGTGATGTGGGTGTACCCGAGCGATTGGTCACTGGCTAGACGGCCTAAGCGGCGCAGACGAGAGCTCTTTTCGTGTTGTCGTCGAGATCTGAATACCACCTCTCGGGAGGAGCGTTTGAGGTGATCACGACTCGTCGGCATTGGGGATATGCATACCTGTCCAGCAGGGTGAGGAGCAGATCGACAGGCAATTCGCCGCAGTAATCATCGAGAATGACGTCGGCCTGGGCCCCTGTATTGGCGCAGGCATGTCCGACTACCAGTACACCTATACACGTCGCTGCCGGTCATTTGATCTGCGCGAGTCGTCTTGCCCGTGCAACCTGCCCCGTGTACACGTGCACCTCAGGAACCTGCCAGGTCGCACCGACTGAGGCCGCCATAATCCGTCACTTTGGCCCGTCGCCAAGGCGGCGGTCGTCAGAGCACTTGGAGCACTTGGAGTGCAGTCGGCAACCTCACATCCAGGGCCGGTGAGCTGAGAAGCGCATCCAGCGGGCCGGATGATCGGTATCGGGTTACGGGCTAGAGAGCCCTAGCCCCGGGGGTGCGCGTTCGCAGGGCAAGGGCCTTAAAGTAAACACGGGTCTCCGAGGGTTAGCTCCGCGCTCCAGGTTTCCCCTAGCAGCAGAACGCCCCCTCTACTCGGAGCATGTTTTCTTTCTTTTTCTACTCGGAGCCAGTGAGACGAGAATACGCACATCTTACAAGAATACATACTGCCCCCACGGAGTACCTGCACTACTCGACGATAATACAAGAAGAATACGCAGCTTGGAAGTTGCAGACGCCTATAAAGAAAAAACACCCAGCTAGATTTCGGCGGCTAAAAAGCAAAGGACGGGCGCTTTTGATCGGCAAAGCAAAGTTGGAGTAACGGCGACCGCGTCGCCACAATGCCAGTCGCCTGTCGAGCAGCCTTGGCGGCGCGCATGCGCCGCAGGGTTGACCGACAGCCGCGCGCCTCGAGCCTCTCGCTCCACTCGCGGCACGACGCGCCCCGCGCGCCGGTCAGCGCAGCAGGAGTATTGCGACATGCTGCACAACGCCAGGGACAGCACTGAGAAGCTGGCGCCAGTCGCCCACCAGCATGTCTCAGCACCGGGTGAGGGAGCATGCTGCGCACGCTGAAGCAGCACGAGGTCACCACCAATCAGGCCCTCACGCCACTGCACGGCCGCCCTCGAGCACCAGCAGCCGCGCTGCGCCATGCTCAAGCTCAGGAGGCCACCCTGCTTCTCGCAGCTTTCTGCAGCGCAGCGAGCGAGCAGCGCCGCACCAGGCGGACCCATGGCGTGTTCAGCCAGCCGCGAGGCGGAGGCAGGCCGAGTGAGCGCGAGCCGCGCGGGAGGCCATGCCCCGCGCACCCGCGAGCGAGTGGCACGAAAGAGTGCAAGTCGCGCATGCTTTTAACGGTGTTTTGTTTCTATGCCACGTCGACCGGGCTGTCACTTCGAGGCGACTGCTGCGAAGTTTCCAAAACGGTACATGCTCGCTCTTTCGGTCTGCTGCGCCAGTCTCTCCCTTCCGTCGGCGCTGACGCTCTCCTCGGCCTTCACGCGTGACGCCGTCGCCCTCGGCCTCCCTGAGTGCCTGCAGCTGCTGTCAGACCGAGCTCAGACGGCGCCGGGACGCGCCTTGTGCCTGACGCCGCGCCTGCACGAAACGGCGGCCGAGTGCCGCGACGCCTACAGCGCCGTCTCCGAAGCCTTTGCCGTGGAGTCTTCGCCGCCGTTTCCTCACGAGCTGGCGATCGAGGACAGCCTGGTCGCAGTGTCCGCGGGCGCGACGCTGGGTCCGCAGGACCTGCTCGAGATAGGCCAGGCGGTGGCAGCCCTCCACACCACAGCCTGCTGGGCGGAGCCGCATCGGTGGGAGCGCACACCGCAGCTAGCCGCGCTCGCGATCAACGCCTCGCCGCCGCCGCGGCTGCTCAAGGCCTTTGGTGACGCGTTCGACCGCACGAGCACCGGCGAGGTGGTGCTCTCGTCCAAGGCGTCCCCATATCTCCCCATACCTCCCCATAGCGCCCCAAGCCTCTCCTAGAACGCCCGAGGCGTTCCCGCGGCTCGGGTAATCTCGGGTGATCTCGGGTAATCTCGTCCAAGGCGTTCCCGCGGCTGGCGAGGCGGCGGGTGGCCGCGCAGAGCGCTGCTCGCTCGACGGCGGACAAAATGCGCTCGCTGCTGACCGAGCCAGACTTTGTCGCCGGGCTGGCGGAGGACCGACCGCCGCCGCGGCAGCGCGACGGCCGGTGGGTGGTGCCGGTGGCGGGCGGCGGCTGTGAACGGCGTCTCTTCACACCTCTAGCTGTGAACAGGTGGGTGGTGCCGGTGGCGGTCGGCAGCGGCCAGGGGCGCGTCGGGGAGGAGGTGGCGCGGTCGCGCTCGGGCGCGACGGCGTTCGTCGAGCCGCACCGGGTGGGCAATCTCGGGGAATCTCGGGTGATCTCGGGTCATCTCGTCCAAGGCGTTCGTCGAGCCGCACCAGGTGCGGCGGCTCTCGGCGGCGGCGGCGCGCGCCGACGGTCGCGTCGAGCGCGCCGAGCGGCGGCTGGTGCGCGCGCTCAGCGCCCTCGTCGAGAGTACCCGAGAGTACCCGAGAGTACCCGAGAGTACCCGAGATTAGGTGCGCGCGCTCAGCGCCCTCGTCGCCGCGCACCGCGCGTCGCTCGAGGAGTCGCTGGCGGCGGCGGGCGAGCTCGACGCGGTGTTTGCGCGTGCGGCGCTTGGCGCGGCATGGGGGGCGCGCGTGCCGGCGGTGGGTGAGCAGGGCGTGGTGCGGCTCGACGGCGCGACGCACCCGCTGCTCGCCAGCGCCGCCGCCACCGGCGCCTCCGCCGCCGCCACCGGCGCCTCCGCCGCCGCCACCGGCGCCTCCGCCCTTGCCGGTGGCGTGAGCGCCGTGGTTGGCAATCGGCTGGAGCTGGGCGGCGAGGGCTGCCCGCAGGAGTCCACCGGCGCTGCCTATAAACGCACAACCCCGGGCCCCGAAATCGCACAGTGACAGTCAGACATGCAACACGGGGTCCACCGGCGCTTCCTCCTTCGACCCGCGTGCCGCTGGCATGTCCTCTCCCTCCTCCTCCTCCTCCTCCTCCTCCTCCTCCTCCTCCTCCCACGTGCCCCGCGGGCATGTCCGTGACGCGTCCGCGACGCGTCCGCAGGGCCTGGTGCTGACCGGGCCAAACGCAGGCGCAAGACACCTCCGAGACACTTCCGAGACACTTCCCAATTACTTCCGAGACACCTCCAAGACACTTTCGAGACACTTCCGTGCCGCCGCTGGCACGCGCAGGCGGCAAGTCTGTCGCCCTGAAGACGGTCGGGCTGTGAACGGCGTCTCTTCACACCTCTAGCTGTGAACAGGCGGCAAGTCTGTCGCCCTGAAGACGGTGGGGCTAGCTGCGTTGCTCGTGCGCTGCGCACTGCCCGTGCCGTGCTCGCCGGCGCGCGACGGCGAGGGCGAGGGCGGCGGTGGCGCCGAGGGCGGCGCGGGGGCTGGTGGTGGCGGACGTGGCGGCGGAGGCGGTGATGGGGCTGCGATGGCGGTGGCGGCGCCGCGCGCCGGCCTCGTCTCTGCGACAATGAGGAAGCCAGACCTGATTGGTTGAGGAAGCCTCCCCAGGCGTCGTCGCCGCGCGTCGACTTCTTCTCTGCCGTGGTGAGCGACTTGGCGGAGGCGCAGGACGTGTCGGCGGGCACGTCGTCGTACGCTGCGCACGTGCGCAGCTGCGCGCGCGCCCTCGAGGCGGCGGGTGCGCACGGCGCGAGTGCCCTCGTGTTGCTCGACGAGCCCGGCGAGATTACCCGAGATTACCCGAGATTACCCGAGATTACCCGAGATTGCATGCTGCTCGACGAGCCCGGCGCCGAATACCCCCGAGACTGCCCGGTAGATTACCCGAGATGAGGCGCGAGCACCGCGCCTACTCCCGCAAGATTACCCGAGACTGCCCGAGATTACCAGAGATGACCCGATTTCAGGCGCGAGCTCCGCGCCTAATCTCGAGATTACCCGAGATTACCCGAGATTGCCCGAGATTACTCGAGATTAGGCGCGAGCACCGAGCCGGCCGAGGGCGCGGCGGTGGCACAGGCTGTTATCGAGGAGCTGCTGGCGCGGGGCGCGCGGCTCGTCGCGACGACGCACGCGTCGCCGCTCAAGCTGCTCGCGCTGCGCGATACGCGGCTGCAGGTCGGCTGCGGTACGTCCTCGGTCCCCGCAAGTAGCGCCGCGCAGAGGACAACAGCGTCCGTCCCAGACACGCACTGACGCGCGCGCGCGTGCACACACACATGGCTCGGGGACCCCCCGCAGTGTGGTGGTGTGAGCGCACAAGCACGAGCAGAGGTGCACACCTCTGCCTTTGGCGGCTGCAGGTCGCGAGATTACCTGAGATTGCCCGAGATTGCCCGAGATTGCCCGAGATTGCCCGAGATTGCCCGAGATTGCCCGAGATTACCCGAGATTGCCCGAGATTGCCCGAGATTGCCCGAGATTCGCCTTTGGCGGCGGCAGGTCGCGGCGATGCAACGGAGGCGGGTCGACCGACGGAACGGAGCGGGCGCCGCAGCGCTGCCGTCGTACGCGATTCTCGTGGGCGCCGTCGGCGGATCCTACGCCCTCGCTGCTGTGAACAGCGTCTCTTCACACCTCTAGCTGTGAACAGGCGCCGTCGGCGGTTCATACGCCCTCGACGCGGCCGCGCGCGAGGGGCTTCCCGAGGCGCTGCTCGCGCGCGCGCGCGGCCTGCTGCCCGGCGCCGAAGGCGACGCCGATGACGGCGACGGCGACGCCGATGACGGCGACGCCGAAGCCGCTGGCGCTGGCGGAAGTGGGCGGGGCGGGCGGGGCGGGCAGGGCGGGAGCGAGGGCGGCCCGCATCCAAAGGCGGCCCCAAGCAACCGGCCCGTGAGAAGCTTCGCCGCGCTGTCGGAGGCGCTCGAGCAGGCGTGCGAGGAGGCGTCGGCGGCGGCGGCGGCGGCGCGCGTGGCGCTCGCTGAGGCAGAAGCGGCGCGGCGCGAGGCGCGCGGCGCGGCGGCGCGCAGCGCGGCGGCGTTCGAGGCGTCGCGCCGCTGGCTGGCGGCCCGGCGCGTGCGCCTCGACGGCCTCGTCGGGCGGCTGAGCGCGCAAGGCGCCGAACCGCTCGAGCTGCTCGGCCAGACGCTCGACGCGCTCTCGCTCCTCGAGATCGACGCAGCAGAGGCGCGCGCGAAGGCGCTGGGCAGGCTCGGGCTGCGCGCGCTGGACGGCCGCCCGTTGCGCGCCGGCGAGAGCCTCGTCGTCGTGGCAACGGCGGCGGCGGCGACGGCGGCGGCGGCGGCGACGGCGGCGCCGCAGCAGCCGAGCACGATCGAGGCGGAGGTGGCGGAGGATGCGCCCGAGGGCTCCGCCGACGCGCAGATGTCCATCGTCGGCGGGCCGCCTGTGCGGGTTCCGCGCGCCGAGCTGGCCGAATGGGCCGCCGTCGACGCGGCCACTGGCCTCGACAGCGGCAGCTTCTCGGCCGACGGCTGGGACTGGATGGGCGCGGTGGCGCCGACGGCGGAGCAGAGTCGGTCCAGCGGCGGCGGCAAGCGCCAACGGAGGCGGTAAGTAGAGAGCCCACGCGACTGAGACCAGCATCCCTTTTGTGTAGTTTTCTACTTTACTCACAGATATAGCATCAGCACCCTAGCCCCGTGTGCGGGGGGGGGGGGGGGGCAACACCCCGGGAAGGGGAACACCGCCCACCGCGCGGGGGGGGGGGTTTTTGGTTTTTCGCACAAAAACAGGGCGCCGCGACTTTTTTATATGAACCCGATTCCGAGGAAGCCTGGGGGGGGTTAAACGCCCATCGCATCCGCCTTAGCTGTATCCCTGCGTGCGCACTTGCGGCGCGTCGATCGCTTCTCTCCCAAAACACCGGAGCCCCCGCCGCAAACCGCCGCCGCGACCCTCACAAGCAGGAGAAGGGCTGGCGTCTGCTACCCCCCGCGCCTGGGCTCCACGGCTCTACGACCTGCGGGTCCGCGCTGCGGTGGGGCCGACAGCAGCGCCAAACCCGTTCACGCGCCCTTCTTGGCCGCCTTCTTCGCCTTGGCCTTGGCCTTCTTCTTCTTCTTTGCGATCTTTGCGAGCTTCTCCTCGAGCTGGCGCCTACTCTCGGACAATCTCGGACAATCTCGGGTGGCCTCAGGCCCACCGCCGACCCCGGGCTCCTCCAGCTGGCGCCGCTTCTCGATGGCCTTGAGCTGCTTCTCGTTGCGCGCCTTGCAGAGCAAGCCCTCCAATCTCGGGTAATCTCGGGTAATCTCGGGTAATCTCGGGTAATCCCGCGCCTTGCAGAGCAAGTCCTCCACCCCGCACTGCTCCACCTCCGCCTACACCGCCGGCCACTCTCGGGTACACTCGGGGCAGGCTCGGGAGCACTCGCCGCACTACACTGCTCCAGCTCCGCCTCCATCCGCTGCAGCTCAGACATCTCGTCCTTGGCCACGCCCCCCTCGTCCTGCCCGCCGCCCGCCGCAGCAGCCGCCGCCGCGGCGGCCGCCTCCGCCTCCCTCGCCTCTCGCTCCCTCCGCTCCTAACCGTTGAGGAAGTCGCCCCTGAGTACTCGACGGAAAAGGAGCCTCCCTCGCCTCTCGCCCCCTCCGGCGCCTCCTCGACCTCCCCGCCCCCCGCCCCCCGCCTCCCCGCCTCCCCCCCCCCGCCCCCACCACCACCACCTCTCTCCCGATCTCTCCGCGCCTCCTCGAGGATCTCCGCCATGATCTCGTCGCCGAGGGCATCGTCCTCCGCCACTGCGTCCGCACCCCGCGCCACCGACGCGCAATCGACCTCTTGCAGCGCCGGCACCGCATCGATGCTCTCCGTCGCGCGCCGGCCCGCCGCCACGCCGTTGCCAAAGGCGCCGAGCGTCTCGGCGTCGAACGCGCCTAGTACCACACCCTCTCGAGTCTCGAACCCGGTGTGGGCTCAGGTCCCGTGGGTGGTGCGGTAGAAGGCGCCGACGGAGCGAGCCCAGCGCGCCTTGCCCGGCGAGAGCACGAGCATGGTCGGCAAGTCGGTCTCGCCTGAGTCGGTTCATGGGGAAGACCCAGCTTCACTCTCGGTGATGGCAAAGGGAGCGCTGCCGGCGGGTCTCTCGTGTCGCCGAGAGTACCCGAGATTACCCGAGATTACCCGAGATTACCCGAGATTCTGAGGGTCTCTCGTCTCTCGCCGAGATTACCCGAGATTACCCGAGATTACCCGAGATTCTGCGGGTCTCTCGACTCGCCGAGATTACCCGAGATTACCCGAGATTCTGCGGGTCTCTCGACTCGCCGAGCCCAAACGCGGCCACAAAGTCGGTGTGGCACGTCGCATCGAGCCACGAGTACGAGAGCGGCCCGCCCGCGCCCCGCCTGCGCAGCTTGGCCAGCACCGCCAGCTGCGCCTCCTTGTTCCCGTTGTCGGGGCCGCCGTCGAGGAGGGCGACGGCGCAGAGCCCGCCTGCTCACACAGCATGAAGTGTGAACGGCGTCTCTTCACACCTCGAGGGGGCCGACGGCGCAGAGCCCGCCGCGCTGCGTGCACTCCGCCTAAGGCAGGCAAGGTAAAGGTCAGGTAAGCTTCTCCACACACACGAGGTGGTGGGGCAAGGGCCGGGCTAGTCCCTCGCGACTCCACGTCTAGACGACAGCAGCCCCACGGCATGAAAGGCGCAAGGCCCAGTGCGCTTTTGGTGAGCGGTGTGTGTGTGTGTGTGGAGGGGGGGGGCGGGGGGCGGGGGGCGGGGGGGGGTGGTGGCGCGCCTCGAAGTTGGCAGCGGAGAGCTCAGGCGGGGGGCCGACGTCCTTGCTTGCGCCGGCCGCCTTCCCCCTCCCGCCCTCGCCCTCGCCGCCGGCCGGCTTGGCCCCTCCGGCGTGCGCGCCTACAAGAGCAAGCCTCGCGGCGGCTCGACCTCCTTTGGGGGGGTCCTGCCGCCTCGGTGCCACCGGCGAGCGCTCCGAGCATCTGCAGCCGCTGCTCGACGACCTGGGGGGGGGAGAGGTGGGGGAGAGGTGGGGAGGGTGGGGGAGAGGTGGGGGAGAGAGGCCGCCGCTGACGACCGACGCGACGAATGCGGCGATGTTGCCGTAGGAAAACTTGCCGTGGACCTGCGGAGGCGGTCGCCAGCTCTCCCCGCATCCGCATCTCCCCGCATCTCCCCGCATCTCCCCGCATCTCCCCGCATCTCCCCGCATCTCCCCGCATCTCCCCGCATCTCCCCGCATCTCCCCGCATCTCCCCGTGCGCCTGCGGCATGAAGCGCGCGCCCGTCAGCTTCATCCCCGCCTGCGCGTCCAGCTCGTCCTTGCCCTCGTTCTCGTTCCACAGCACCAGCAGCGCGGGCGCCCTGTCGATGTTGAACTGCGCCATCAGGGAAGGGGGGGGAAGGTAGGCGTCTCCACACACACACCAGGTGTGGTGGTGGGGCAAGGGCCAGGCGACTCCCTCGCGTCGGACACGCGGGCAGGAGCTGGCGCGGCATCAAAGTGCAAGGCCCGGGGCCGTGGGGGAGCAGGCCTGCGCCATCATCGCGGGCGGCGCGAAGCCGAACTGCATCTGCCCCTCGAACGCCATGGAGAGGGAGCGGAAGATGGGCGGCACCTCGGCCTTGTCGGAGAAGAGGAGGCACGCCGCCTGCTCACAGCAGGAGGGGTGTGAACGGCGTCTCTTCACACCTCGGGCTTGCCGGAGGCGCACGCCGCCTTGGCCGCCGTCTGCGTGAGCGCCGCGGAGAAGAACATGTCGGGAGACCCCTGCCCGAGCTTATCGACGAGGCTGTCGGGCAGCGACGCGAGCGCGCCCTTCTTGGCCGCGTCGAGGCCGGCGGCGTCGGCCGCGAAAGGAACCGCCTTCTTCGCCGCCTTCTCGGCGGCGCCGAAAGGCAGCATCGCCACGGCGGGCGCCTCCTTGCCCCCGTACTTGGCCGCCAGCGCGGCGGGCGCGCGCCCGACGACCACCTGCCATGATGATAATAATAATTATGAGAATGAGAATAATGACGACGATGAGAATACTAATCGCGATAATCCTAAAACAACGGCCACCTGCCCGTATGTGGCCTCTGCGAGCGCCTCGAGGCCGTCCACGTCCCCGAAGGCCAGCACGTGCGGCTCGGCGCCTAATCTCGAGACGACCCGAGATGACCCGAGATGGCCCGAGGTGACCCGAGATTACCCGAGATTGCGCCAACACGTGCGGCGCGGCGCCTAGTCAGCGTGCAGCAACGCACCGCTCTCGAGGCAACGAGCCCCACAGTGCCCGTACCACACACGCGGCGCGGCACCGAGCGACGAGAGGTCCGACTCGCTCAGATCGCGGACCAAGGACGCCGCGCCGCCGCCGCCGCCGCCGCCGCCGCCGCCGTCCGTTGGCGGCAGCGGCGGGCCGGCGTGCGACGTCAGCCACGCCAGGAGTTGCTCCGCCTTTTGCAGGGCATGGACGCTCCGCTCAGTGGCGCCGCTGAGAAACGCCTCGTGTGTAATGCCCTGTGTTCCGCGAGTGCGTGTGCCCCGTCGTCCACTGCTAGGACGCGTCGTGTGTAACACTGCCTGACTGGACGCTCCGCTCAGTGGAGGCGCGGAGGATGGCGCGGGCTTGCCGCTCCACGAGGCGTCTCCCCCCAACCGGCGAAGTGGGCGAGTGAGCGAAGCGGGCGAGAGGCGGCATGCACAAGTGCACCCAAAGGCGAGGAGGTGTCTGTGTGCGTGTGGAGAGAGAGAGAGAGAGAGAGAGAGAGAGAGAGAGAGAGAGAGAGAGAGAGAGAGAGAGAGAGAGAGAGAGAGAGCGAGAGAGGTGTGTATGTGCACTGTCAGAGCGCTCTGCATATGTGGCACACAACGAAAGAGAGAGCGCCGTGTGTGGTTGTGCGTGCGCCTTCATCTCGCCTAGTCGACCATTGCGACGCCGTTCACGAGGAGAGAGACCTCGCCGCGACCTCAGCCTGCCCCCGCCCCCGTCTCGCCCGTGTACGAGATCGACTCGGCCGCACCCTTGCCCGCAGGCACCACCGCAAGGCGCGGGAAGCCGTCCACGCCTACTCGGGCGCATGTGCCGATGAAGGGTAGGAGCCACTCCCTCCTGCAACGGGGAAGCGTGTCCGCGCCTAGGGCTGTCGCCGTCTCCGGCGCCGCCTCGCCGTGCGCGTACCTGTTCGCAGCAGCAGGTGTGAAGAGACGCCGTCCACAGCCGCCGCCGCCTCGCCGTGCGCGCACCCGAGCTGCAGCCGCCCTTTGAGCGCGAGAGCGAGCGACTTGAGCAGAGGCGAGACGGCGGGCTTGGAGCCGAGGAGGAGCGCCTTTGGCAGCGCGCCCTCGGACAGGAAGCTCTCCAGGCCTCCGTCGGTTACGGCGGCCACCAGCTCCGACGGCAGCAGGGACGTCGCGTAGTCGACGACGCCTAGGAAGGCTCCTGGAAGGCTCCGGGAAGGTTCGGGGAAGGTTCACGCGTCGCGAAGGCGCCCAACGCCTCGCGCTGTGCGCGGGCCGCCGTAGTCCTTGGCCACCTGGGGTAGTGATTCCGTCCTCTTTCGCCTCACCCCGTGGTTCTTAGGCGCCCAGCCTCCAATCGAAACGGACGGAGACTTCCGTGCGCTTCAACCAGTGCGTGTGCGTGCGCGCGTGTGCGTGCTGTTCTGTGAGGCTGCCACCTTGCCGAGCTTGCCCGTGTATGGGTTCCGCGTCACCTCGGGCATCAGCACCTGCGCGCACGCGCGACGGCGGTGGGGCGTGCGGCGCGGGCGGAGCGGCGCCGCTGCCCGCCCGTAGCCGCGCCTTGACGGTGGGGTAGCCGTTGACGCCGTAGAGCGAGGCGGTCTTCGACGCCTTCTCGGCGTTGACCGCTCCAAACTTGACGATCCCTTTGAGGTTGCCCGCCGCCTTGGCGAAGCCCGGAGCAAACTGCTTGCAGTGGCCGCACCAGTCTGCGTAGAACTCGACGACCCAAAGCGATGTGGCGTCGCCAACCACCAGCGTCTCAAAGTTGTCGTCGGTGAGTTCCACCAGCGCGGATGAGGAGAAGTCGTAGAGCGGCTCCGCAGCGACGGCGGCCGCCAGGGCGAGCAGCAGGCGCATATGTGTATCGCTGACGTGGTGGGCAGAAAAATTTCGGGGCCGCGAGCACGGCCGGGGGGAGCCGGTTCGGTGCTAGGACGCGGAGGAGTACGACGAAGGCGACGACGCTTTCGACGCGCTCTTCGACGGGGTTGGGTTGTCGGCACGGGTTGGGTCGGTGAGTTGGGTTGTCCACCCAACCGACCGCGTGAGATAGGGTGCTGACCTTTTCTCGCCGAGGCTCGCCGTGGCCCCACACGGCGACAGGTTCCGCAGCGCCGCCGCCGCCTCCTCCTTGCCCACCGGCGTGCCGCTCGTCAGCAGCGCAACGAGCGGCTTCAGGCCGCCCTCCTTCACAATCGCCAACTCATTGTCGTCGTTGACCGACAGGATCCGCAGCGCCCCCGCCGCCATCTCCTTGCCCACCGGCGTGCCGCTCGTCAGCAGCGCAATGAGCGGCTTCAGGCCGCCCTGCTTCGCAATCGCCACCTTATTGTCGGCGTTGACCGACAGGTTCGCCAGCGCCGCCGCCGCCTTCTCCTTGCCCACCCCGGATCGAATCGGCAGGGTGACCCTTATAATTTTTTTTCACCTAAGCGGGCCCAATTTTGCTCTAGGTGCCTCCTACGATTCGATCCAGCGTTCTCAGGCAGTCGCCTGGTGCGTTGTTTCGTTTTCGTCACGGGAGATGTTGCCCGGGCAAAACACAAGACCTTCCTTGCTCACTACTCAGACTATATGTCAAGCATTCGGTCCGAAGTCTCCAACCGTCGCCCTGTTCCAAACGCCTACAGCAGCTTTGTCCCATCCACAACCAACGGCGGTGACAAAGATGTCAAGGGTGATGGTGGCCACGACAAGGGCCCTTGCACTCGATGTGGCAAAAAGGGGCACACCAAAATCAAGTGCTTCAAACCAAAGACTGAGTGCCACCTATGCGGTGCCGACCATTTGACCGCATTTTGCATCAATGCCAAGGGCAACCACCGCCGCGCCGAACTCACCGTTTCATCTCTCGAGACCATTGTCAAAGAGCGCGATGAGGCCCTCAAATTCGTCACGCCTCCCTCCGACAAAACAGGTGGCCCCTCCATTACGCCCTCCACCGACCCCGGCGAGCTCAAACTCGCCTACGCCGCTGCTGCTGCAGCTGCCGCTTCCGAGACCGACCCGAACAAAGCCGCCGCAGCTTACACCGCTTGCCTCGGCGCCTTCGGCTACATCTGACACCAATGCGGTCAACGCGGTATAGTCGTCCAAGAAGGGAGGTCGGAAATTTCTCCGGGGGGACGTCCGCGCACGTACGTGTTTGTTCGAACGAAATGTATGACTCGGCCTCAGCACGCGTGCGGCCGCGCGCCTCAAGAGCGTGCGCCACCGCGGCGCTGCCCCACCCCCTCGAACGAATTTCACGCGTGCAATTCGGGCGCTCGCGACTGCGGACTGGCTTGCGACCCCGGACTGCGATGGCGGCGGCCTGCCTCAGTGCTCCTTGTCAAGGCTCGGGGGGGCTCACTCCCGGGGGTACTCCCCGGGGACATGTCAGTTGGCCATCCACCCTTATTGTCAAAGCTTTATCCGCTGGCCTTTCCTGCTTCTTTTCTCTCTTGAACAGTGGCCAGGGGCGGCGGGCGGGGCTACCTTGCATTTTTGTCGTTGTGACAGTCGCCGCATACACACATATCCCCACCACAGTACGTACGTGGAGCAAGTCACAGTCGGCCACACACCTCACACTGAACAGCACCTAAGCTGCGCGCCGCCCATTTTCTACTGGCAGAGCCGTGCGGCACCCAGCAGCACGGCGCGCTCTCTCCGCACCACAGTTGCATTACGCACACGCGCCTCATCCGCAACGCGGCTCGCCTCGCTCCGCAACGCGGCGCGCAAGGCGGCATGCACGCGCACGTACACACGTGGTGTCACACGCGTCGGGCGTCGAACTCGAGGGTGACCACGTGGCAGGGGGCCGGGTCTTTTAGATAGACGCATTGAAGGCAATTGGCCGGACCCACACGTCCGGGACGCCTGGGGGGTTCTCGACGTCATCGTCAACCACCGCGCAAAAGCTTCGCCGGCGCAAGTGGCCAGAGGAGTTGCGCCTCATAGTGATGGTGACAGACGGCATCAGTGTGGGAGAGGGGGCGGGAGAGGGGGCGGGAGAGGGGGCGGGAGAGAGGGCGGGAGGTGGCCCATAGCGCGATACGGCGCCCTCGAAGGCGGCCGATATGCGGACGCTCAGTGGCATCATGTCCTGTGGGGCCGCCTGAACCTGCTTGGAAGCTTCCTGTAGCGACCCCGCGGGCCGCGTCGTAGATGGCTCCGCGGGAACCACGTGGACATGGACATGGTCTTCTTGAGAAGCGGCCGCTGCTGATCCCGCTGGTCGACCATCAGGTCGCACAAAGGCTGGAAAGGGGTCGTTGCCAATTGAAAAGGAGCTGCTTGCCGAGCGCCGCGAAAAGGAGTTGCGCAGGCTTGTGGAGGCACGGATAATTTCTTGGCCTGCCTGTTGCATCCTCCTCCATACAAGGTACCACCATGCGGAGGCGCCGATGAGGACCACGGCGACTGAGCCGAGGCTGAGTGCGACGATGTTCATACGGCCTGATACTTGCGACGCCACAGCAACCGGCATCAGGGGCGGGCTGAGCGGCGGCGGGGAGGCTGGCGGCGGCGAGGGAGGCGGAGGCGAGGGCGGCGGGGGCGAGGGCGGGGCTGACGGTGGTGGCGGCGACGGAGGGGCAGACGGCGTTGGCGGCGACGGTGGCGGTGGAGAGGGAGGCGGGGGCGAGGGCGGAGGGCTTGGCGGCGGCGGAGAGGGCGGCGGCGGCGATGAAGGGGGCGGAGACGGCGGCGGCGGAGACGGCGGCGGCGGCGAGGGCGTCGGCGGCGACGGTGGCGGTGGAGAGGGAGGCGGGGGCGAGGGCGGAGGGCTTGGCGGCGGCGGCGAGGGCGGCGGCGGCGACGGAGGGGGCGGAGACGGCGGCGGCGGAGACGGCGGCGGCGGCGAGGGCGGCGGCGGCGATGGTGGCGGTGGAGAGGGAGGCGGGGGCGAGGGCGGAGGGCTTGGCGGCGGCGGCGAGGGCGGCGGCGGCGACGGAGGGGGCGGAGAGGGCGGCGGCGAGA